CATAATCTGGAAGGACCTTCTGGCCATCTCATCTCCGTCCTCGGCTTAGCAACTCTCAACTCTGCTTGATCCTCCTTGCCCGGATGTCTTATGTTCCTCGAAGAATACTGTTAGGTAGTTAGGCTCCTTCATTCGCTAGCAATGAGGCGCAAGTTCGAGTCGCCAGCCCAGTCCGCCACCAGTTTAGCCATCTCAGTATGAGCCTTTTTATTCCCTGTTTAAGGTCATTCTTTGAGATATATATATATATATATATAGATAAATTTGCAACTCTTCAGGGCAAAAGAAGTAAGAAACCTCATGTCCTTTTAGTACGTCTCAAGTTATTGACATACAAACAAAACAAAAATTTGAAGCTACTCTAGAGAGGATCAAGAAGTTTTTCTCTATCTAAATACTCCGTGATCCGGTCAAGCTTCTTGAGGACCTTTGACAAGAAGCAGAGTGCGATGGTTCGACGGCCTACAGCTGTGAACATCGAGTCGTCAAGGCCGAGTTTAGGGTAGCGCCAAGCCGATTATTTCCCCTCTTTCAATTTTGACGCTCTCTCATACGATTAATATATCGAATACAGTCAGTACGCCTTTTGAGCTGCCTTTGCGCAGACCAAAAGTGATTTATTCACATTACTAGTGAAAGTTCAGTTACGTCTTCTTTATTATTAAACGAAAGACTCGCGAGAAACTCCTTCGAGCTTTGATAAAAAATTTGTGCCGTGCTTCTGTCACCCTTCGTCTGAGACAGGCGCGTCGCAAATTTGAATTGAACGTGGGAAACTACAATTCACGTCGCCGGTGGTGAGTTGTGTTTCACGCCACGTTCAACAGTCTAAATCATACGCGTTTATTATATAAAAGAAAAGGAACGAAATAAACAGAGTGTGGACCAAAAATCAGCCTGGTGAGTTCTCATTACTTCTTGGTTTCCATTTGTGAGGCACTAGATTTGAAATTATATGTGATTGAACGGCAATTGCATTGAACAGACGAATTGTTCTAGTAAGATTCACTAAAGAATCAATTAACAACTCATTTGACCGATTGTATCAAAATAAGGTTGATAAATCAACATAATTTTTCCCGCGATTTAATAAAATGTTGAGTGGATAACAAAATCTTATTCAAAAATATAATTCGAGTAACGATATTTACATACTAAAGCAGATTAGAGCTAATATATTTTCATATTCGAACTTAACTCGTCATCAAGTCACTTTACTGATTGGACATTTAAATCTGAATTTGGTGTTGTTTACCCAAATTTGCTCAATAAAATTAACGATTAATTTCTCACGATAACATTTTTTTTTTACTTTATTTTTGCTTTATATTTATTCAACTCGACGTGTTGAATAAGATTCAATTTAAAAAACGTGTAAGATAAAGTCATTTTTGGAATTTTGTAATGATTCGAATTTGGAAGTTTACTTTGTTGATGTCAGATTTTGCTTTACAGAGTTCAGCCATTGCGTCTTGTGGGTGATATCAGTGTCAACCTAAGTTCAAACAGAATTTTCTCTCCTTTTATGTTCTTTCCACACTTAATGTATCTTTATACACCAAATATTATACAAAACCTTTTTTATATATATATATATATTTTTCTTATACACGCTTTGAGTTTTGATTTATTTATTAAGTTGCACATAGAACCTCCACAGTAGTCAACCCTACGACCACAAAAAAGAATCCAAGTTCCTGACGTTCCTAACCATCAAGCTTCCCTTGCTTGATTCCTAAAAAATATAATTCACACCACCGCAAAATGGTTATCCTGCCAGGGTTGACTACTGGGATTTGTAACTAATAAATATATCCGTTGATACACAGAAATCATCCATGGCTGTGATGTCTGAGGTCTGAATAACGAAATTCAATTGATCCACCTGTGAAATGCGCCTAGCTATTTCGACAGGAAAGTAAATAAAGGATTAAGTTAATCTCTCAGGGTAGTATTAAATATAAATCATTTTAATTTGATCAAGTTGGACTTTATTTACTTCATAGAATACAAGTCTGCCGTATAGATTTATTTGATCTGTGTTATATAAAAGCTAAGAAATATGTGTAAAATGGCTGAGAATGACCAAAATAGACAGGAGAAGACTCAAGATGCAATATCCAAGAATAGGTATCCCCTGCAAAATCGTGCTAAAAATTCTGACGAATCGGGTGAGATTTAGAACAAAACTCTACCATTCGTAAGAACTCAGAAAATTGAGGGAGAGTCTCACCTCAGAAGAGCACTATCTTCAAGCCATCCTGATGCAGCTGGGTCACTAGTTTTACCTCCGAGAAACGATGATCTGATAAGTCAGACCAACCGATTCAAAGGAAAGCTGAAAATCAGGAAGTTAAGCTAAGAGAATTAAATAAGTTATGTGAGCAAATTTCGAGGATACATACCCAAATAATTGTATCTGACAAAATGAGCGTATAGTCGCAAACCAAGAGTCTATAGAGACACTTGAGATCGATATGGCACATACCAAAAGATAGGTAGATCCTTACAAACGGAATATCGAGAGATAAGCCGTAGAGTGGATGTGCTATTGGGGAACTTCCAACTGAGTGAAGCGCGAGACCGTTCGTCAAATGCAAGACATAAGATGAGATATAAGAGTCCTTGCGAATCGAAGAACTGCTTCTTTTAATTGAGATAATTGCCTTCCAATGAACCTTAAATTGCCGATTTTCTCAGCAAAAACGACTGATAGGCCTCTTCAGTTCATTAAGGCCCTGCAGCAGTACATTCTGACTATGGATCCGGATGAAGAACATCTTATCAACATTTTAAACCCAGCGTTGCAAGGTTCAGCCTATGATTGATGGGAGGGGATTGAAACTAGAATCCAAACCTTCGCAGATTTCCGTCAGAGATTTACGAAACGTTACTGGAATGATGCCGCTCAAGACAAGGTCAGACACGAACTATCCCACGGTATTTACCAGGCTAACGAAAATATTAGCATGAGTGATTATGCATTTCAGATTTTCAATGATGTAATTAGTACTGACAATGCTCCGTCGGAATTTAGTACCGTAAGTTACCACAATTGAGGCATTAGCCAACTTGCTTGATGAGTTGGAACAACTCAGTTCTTTCACACAGTGGATGAGCGAAATTCGACACCATTGCGTGAAAATCCACAGAATCAAGGGGGAAATAAGCGCCAATTTAACCAATTTCAAGTCCATGAATCGCCTGAAAATAAATCATGGCAACCCAAAAATCAAAACTCTGGTCCCACTAGCGGTAACCAGAACTCAATTCGCAACTATCAGCAATGATTCACGAAATACGTGAACATTATACCTGATGATTAGTTGAACATACAGGAAAGAAAGCAGGTTATGAAAGAACAACTAGACTTTTCTCTCCAAAATTATAAATACCACGGAAACTAGGTAAGGTTCCGGCATTAAAATCGGATTATACTATGACTGAAAGTACCGCAACATAAAAAATATCAATACTGTGTCGAGTAACACAATATTTGGAGACATTTCCGAAAATCTGTTGTCAGAGGAAGCTAATGACTCCGAAGAACGACCGCTGCGTGAGTGTCCTTCCATTCCTATTATGATAGAAGGCGTAGAAGTAAATGCGTTAATCGATACCGGCAGCAGCATTACCTGTCTTGCCGAATCTATATTCTTAAGTAACTTTTCAAATTTCAGTTCACGTCCTACTTTTCAAGCCATAATCTTGCAAGCAACCTGTTTCACAGGTGAAAGATCGGCGTGAATCGAAAAACAGTTACAAGCTAAAGTTAAGATAGGTAGTATATTGTTAGAATTGAATTGTCTAATAATTCCGAAATTAGTGAAGCCTTGTTCGTTAGGGATAGATAGTCAATATATCCTAAACACAAATATAGAAGTGCGTAATGAATTAATATATTTCACATTTAATGATAAATTCGTAACGCTAACTTATAATAAAACGAAACTGTCTTCCGATGAAAGAAAAAGAGTAAATTTGTTTTAGAACGACTGAAATACTCGCGTTGATGTTATTTATCACGAAAGATTCTAACGGTAAACGAGTCAAAAATTATCCCTACTAAAAATTATTCACACAATGGAACACACTGTAACTCACTTTACTCGTTTTGTTTACGAGTCTTAACCCTTTGCGGCACACATTTTTGAAACAATAATATAAATATGAAAACTGTTACCCGGTAGGTTTTTGGGGTCACTGATTACGAATCTGAAGTCAGAATTTGAAAATTTTAATTTCCAAGATGGCGGATCAAATATGGCGGATCCATTTTTCAGCTAGATTGAAGTATCCTGAATGGAAGTAGAAAGCCGATATATGACAGACCCATGTGTTTGTTCAGTGTTTTTTTTACACTCGCCATTCCATACTATATTCTGCTATAATTTTTACATTTTTGATAATATTACCTCTCTTAGCCGAACCCAGAGACACGAGCGAGGACGTGGTGGTAAGTCTCCATTTTTGTATTTTTGTTTATTTTTTATTTTTTTATTTATTTATTTTTTTTTTCTTATTTTTTCTTTATTTTATTTTATTTTTTTTTAATTTTTCATTTTTTCATTTTTTTATATATTTTATTTTAATTTCTGTTAAAAATTATATTTTATTTAGTTATGATACAAATGAAAACAGTTTCTTGAAGGTGTTATACACAATGGTACTTCACAAATCTTACATATCCATGATGAACGTTTTTGATCCTTTTTTGTGCTACAATGAGCACAACGCCTCGATTTGTCAGTGTAAATGGGTAAATGAGACGATTCACATCGTCTTTTTTCAATTGAAACCTGAGGCTTGGCTGTGGTTGTTACAATTGTTCTCAAACGTTTTCTACCTTTAGAAGTTGGGAATTTACCCTCAACCAGTTGGTCCACTAAAGTCAAGCGAAATTGTTTAGAACTCATGCAAGGTTTGAAATCTTTTTTGCTATATAAAATGAACGAATTAAGAATAGTTGTATCCAAGAGATGCCAAAATATTCGATGCCATCATTTTTTTGATTTTCGGTCAATTTTGTAAGTAGATATTAGTTGATCTGATTTATCAACAAAACTCATGTATTTATTATAGTCTGAACACATTACAGGACAACTAACATTTTTTGACGAGCCATATTTTTGTTTACGCATGACTGTAGTTACTTCAGAAGGATTATGATAGTTCGATAAAAAATTAACTGGTTTTTTATCCATCCATTTTATCCACCGAACGCCTGTATTCGAGCATTTATATTCAAATTTACCAGGTTCTAAATTCTTGTCAGGTATATCACTCTTAGGTAGTCTTTTTCGATCTTTACAAACTGTCCCGCAAGCAAAAATATTGTCTCGTTTCAGATCAATCATTAATTTAACGCTTGTAAAGTAGTTGTCAAAATATACGTGATGATTATCACCAACAAGTTCTCGTGTAAGTTCTTTTACAACTCGTGGCCCAAGATCTTTTTCAGTACTTTCCTTTTTACCCGTGTATATCTGAAATTCACATATGTAACCCGATTCATCTGCACAAACCCAACATTTGTACCCACGTTTGATTGGTTTTTGAGGCATGTATTGTTTCAAGCTACTGCAGCCTTTGAATTTTATCATTGATTCGTCTATGGATTGGTATTTACTTGGAGTCATATATTTTTTAAAATTTTCATTCAGCTTATCTATCATAGGTCGCAATTTATATAATTTGTCATAATTTGGTTCTGTTCTTTTTGGTTCCTTGCTGTTATCAGTCATGTGAATGTTACCAAGAAAAAATCCGAAACGATTTACGGTCATCAATGAACTTATGTAAGGATCATTCAGTTTAGGGTCAGAAGACCAATAATCACGATACGATGGCATTTTTTTGATTCCCATAAGAATATTAATGCCTAAAAAGATGATCAGTTCATTTTTCGTTATAGGTATTTGTTTTCTATTATTTTGATGAGCATAATTATTTGTTTGCAGAACTATGAGGTCTAAAATATCTTCTGAAAATAAACACGAAAACAAATCCAATGGAGTTCTAATATCTTCTGGTATATTAGGGCCAAAATTTTTAGTAAAAGGGATGTCATCCTTCGATCTGGCTTTATTGACACAGTTTTCTTTACTTTTTGCATCTTTTTCCAATATTTCCACCACTTCATCTTCCACCTCTTCATCTTCAGTTAAAACTTCATCTTCTACTTCCTCATCTTCATCATCTTCTTCCTCTTGTGCATCTTCATCTTCTTCTTCTATCTCATTTTCATTTCGTTCTATATCAGAATTGCATAATCCGTCAATAGATTCCGAATCACTAGGAATAACTGTCACAAGAACCCTACGTGCTCTAGTCATATTTTGATGTGTATCAAATTAATTATAACAGGAAAAATATTACCAAACAAATACCAAAGATAATGAACATAAAAAATATATTAGCTATATATTTGAAAAACGACTAAATTTTTGTAGCTGCGAAAATGGTAAAATAAAGTATTTTAAAATTTATGAAAAATTTACTTGTAATTTTTATACATGGAAAATTTGGAATTGAAAAAAATTTAAATGAAAAATAGCCCGTTATTTTGAATTGTAAAATTCCAATTTCTGAATTTTGAACAGCAGGTTCTATCACCAAACAACAAATCAACTTACCCCAATTTTAACAAAAAAAATAGATATTTAAAATTGTTTCTGACTTTAGGCACAACATGCAAAACACTCAAATAATAATTTCGTCATAAAAAAATGATAAATAATTTATGAACACACATGGGATAATCAATGTACACCGAAACTTAAAATTAAAAAAATTTACTCTATCTCTCAATTTATATTATAAAGTCGAAATATTGAAATCCGATTTTTAGGTAAAATTTCTTTTTACGATACATGAAATGTATTTTATAAAGAAAATCACCTAAACAATGGATCCGCCATATTAAATCTGCCAACTTGGAATTAAATATTTTCAAACTTTGACTTAAAAATCGTAATCAACGACCCTCAAAACCCCAAAGTAACGAGTTTGATCTAAAATATATGAAAAAAGCAAACCTAGCTGAAAAATTCATCCACCACATTGGATCCGCCATCTTGGAAATTAAAATTTTCAAATTCTGAATTCAGATTCGTAATCAGCGACCCCAAAAACCCCTTAGTACCGAAATTGACTCAAAATAAATGAAAAAATAAAATTTAGCTGAAAAATGGATCCGCCATATTGGATCCGCCATCTTGGAAATTAAAATTTTCAAATTCTGACTGCAGATTCGTATTCAGTGACCCTGAAAACCTACAAGTAATTTTTTTTGCACGATTATAGTAACATTTGCTTTCAATAATGATTTTTTTTCTAAAAAATCGTCATTTTGGTGCACTTTTCAGCCATTTTTTAAAAAATGGCGACTAAAAATCGATAATTTGATATAGTTATACATTCATTAACATATTAGAAGGATAAAATATTAAAAATCCCCGTGAGCAATGATTTATTAGAGCTCTTCATACATGAAAATCTCATTTCAAAAAGGTGGTAAGTATACTTACCACTATGCCGCAAAGGGTTAAAGCAAGATTTTTTCAAAAAAGGCGTTTCGTCCAAAACTGTTGGATTGGACTCCTTAGTAAGGATCCAACAGTTCTCCTCAGACGCCTTGCTGCAAGGTGGTATGCAGTGGCCTTATAGATTAGCGACGCTCTTACTTCTCTTACGAAGAGATGTAAGCCGTCTACTAGCAAAATTTTCAACCAAATGCATAAATTTGTTTAAGAACGACTGAAATACTCGCGTTGATGTTATTTATCATGAAAGATTCTAACGGTAAACGAGTCAAAAATTATCCCTACTAAAAATTATTCCCACAATAGAACACACTGTAACTCACTTTAACAAACTGTTGGATCCTTACTGAGGAATCCAATCTAACAGTTTTGGACGAAACGCCTTTTTGAAAAAATCTTGCTTTAAGACTCGTAAACAAAACGAGTAAAGTGACTTACAGTGTGTTACATTGTGTGAATAATTTTTAGTAGGGATAATTTTTGACTCGTTTACCGTTAGAATCTTTCATGATAAATAAAAAGAGTAAATGAAATAAATCTTGAGTTCACTGTATCGCACCTCTATGAAGATAGTCAAGATAGATTCTTCCCAAGTTATGATCGGCCTTCGATTGAATTGTCTGATCATGAATTAAACGTAAAATTAGACGAAATCGAAAGTTTAGATCCACAACATAAAAATCATTCATGTTCTCTTGTCCGGAAGTACAAACATATTTTTCGTAAAAAGCCCGGATGATTCAAATCATACGAGCATAAACTCCTTTTGAAAAATAAAGATCCTTATTTCTACAAATCTTATCCTGTACAGTTCAATTACCAAGATGCTTTCAGTGAAGAGATTAATAGGATGTTAAAAATGGGAGTGATCGATTATTCAACAAGTCCATACATTAATCTAGTAGTAATAGTCATAAAGAAATAGCACTATACGTTCTTGTCTCGATGGAAGGATGCTGAACAACAACTTACAGGATGACCATGATGGACCTGAAGACATAGAAGATGTGCAGCGAAAATGCTCAGGTGGTAAGGTAATTTCTTCTTTCGATCTCACTAAATCTTTCTGGCAGATTCTCTTAGCAGCTGAATCACGTGCCTTCACGGCCTTTATGCACGCTGGTCGTACAATGCGGACGCGCAAGAGAAAAGCAATAGAACGAAAGTACGAAGTTAAATATGGATACCATGTTCTCGTCTATTACAGAAAGAGCTTTCGCGACCATCCCATGGGGGATGTCCTCATGTGCTCATGCATGTGCTCATTGTGCTGATGAATGTTGCTGACGAAATCATTACTCATAACATGTTTCTCATAGCATTACAAGTTTATGCACCGGTAAGGCAACACGGTAAAAGGTAAAAAAAGGTACTTTTTTTGACACTTCTACGGTAGTGCAGTAATATCACCACCGTTCGCCAACCCAACTCCACTGAATATTTTATAGCCAAGATAAAATTCAAGTGTATTATTATGCTTTTGAATATAGGGCATTCGACGTACTTGGTCGTACTATGCTAGTGCGACTAGTATAACGCGACCAAGTGCATCGAATGTCCTATGCTGTCATGAAACGGAAAATGAATATTATGAGTCAGTTAATTTATATATATATATGTCGATTAGAGCGACTTCATATACAATTTTTCCGCCGTTCGTTACTGGCCACAATTATGCAGGTGAATACGTTAAAGGCTCAGGATTGGAAAATATCTGACTACTAAGCACGTTGATTACAGGTTACCAATTTCTGAACCACGTTAATTGTTCTTTGTATTGTGAATGTTTGTCTTTGAAGGGGAGAAACTTTACAACAATAGCGTCTTATCGATATATTTTTGTTTTGCACAGCTATTAAAGAAGAAAGTGAAACGGATGAGAGCAACGACGATGAAAATAATGAATGTACGACGAACGATGATAACAAGGGCGACGATGAACTGGATTGGTGTGCAACCGTAAATAGCGATGAAAGTTCATCGAAATCGTCATCATTCAACGAAGCATCGAGTATACACGAGTGAAACGACGAATATGTGGCGAACCATCGCCGTGCCAGTAACGTCACCAGTTTTAGACTTAACAAGAGTTCGGTTTTCGAGACGACGACAAGAGACAATGTCCACGGTTTATGTTTCTAATTTGTGCGTGGCGTAGCACGTGTGCACGATTTGACTGAGATCAGACGAATTGACGTGGTGTATTGGAGCGTGTGGCGTTCGCGAATGTTTTCCACGAGAAGCCAGTCAAACAATTGATCGATTTTTACGTACATGAAAAAAAAGATTTCGTCAAACTCATCGCTACTACACACAACACGCGAAATTTATAATCGCTGAACTGAGTAAGCGTACAGAGTTACTCCCGAAGTCATGCTCAACGATCCTAGAATTTTCTTGCTGCAATTGCTCTATCTGCGGCGGTCTACTTGCCCGAGAAGACGACAAACATTCTCAAATAGCCTTTGGGTGGCCGTTCATTAACGCACAAGTATGTACTCCCAGAAGGTTTCATTATGAAAGGCTGATACCCAACGCAGACAGCTCTTTAAAAGAAGTATTCAGATTCGAAGGTTCCTACGTGTCTGGGTGTTCCAATTGTTTATCCGAAAATCGTGATTGCAACTTGCACTTTGGTTGCACTTTCTACATTACTTAAAAAAATTAAAAAGCGAAAAGAATGTTCATATTTGGAATATTAATACACGTGATGTGGGAATCAAAATTCAACCAAATGAAACTTAATTTTCAAGATTCACATATGATATAACACATATTAACGACGGTTTGGATTGCAATCTCATGCAGATGTCAAAGAGTATAACGAGAATTTGCTCGTATATACTGGTTGTCCTGGATTCCTTATTGAAACACGCATTGACCAAACCATTGGAGGATAAAACGGGGCGCGTAACGTCGCGCAAACATTAGAAAAAATACTGAAACGCTCTAACAACAGATGCTCGGTAATGCTTACCTAACAGAATTCAAGAGTGCATTCTTCCAAGCAATTTTGAAGAAAAATAACTTCCGAGTTTAGGAACGTAATCCAGATATCAAGGCAGCTGTCGTAGATAGATTGACCAGAACTTTGCGTAAGCACATTGCCGGATACTTTACGTACAGAAACACCAAAAAGTATGTAGGCGTTGTACCGCGTACGCATAAGATCGTAGTGTACATAGCAATACAAGAATGCGATATAGCAAGGTGAATCTTGATAATGCCAGTGAGGTGCTTGAAAATGTATGATAACGTGCAGCGAGCAATGGTAACGTTGTTGACAGCAGTAACAATAAAGGCAATTTAAAGGTACTAGATACTGAGTTAACTTATAAGTGCGCATCAGTTGTACAAAAAGTAATTTTGAGCGCGGATACGAAAAAATTTTAGCAGAAAGATATTTTTTGTGAAAGGAGACAGTGTATATAGTACATTTTCCAGAATTTCAATGACGAAGAAATTGATAGATTTTTTATATCGGAGACTTGACGGGATATAAATACAATTTTTCACGCACTCATCTGATGAGAGCCACGGCTTTTAGTAGCCGGCCTAATCTATATCTTTCTCTTTCCCTCTAAGTCTGCGGCGCTGCCGTGTCATAGTCGACTATGTGTGCAAGTCATATTACAAGCTTGATTTTTGTGTTTGCAGCTAAAAGGCAGAGTCAACGTAGCAAATACGTACGACAACAATAGAAAGAGAGAGAGAGTGAGAGAGAAAGACGAAGAATAGTGAGCTCGTTCATGCGGGCACATTAGCTATCAATGTCGCCGGCAACGTGCGAA